CAATAACAAACTATGCTTTGGACTATATGGCTTCCCCCAAACAACCTTGTGCCAATCAACTAAAGGCTGAGGAGTCCTGATAGTTTGCCAGACTAACTTAACAGAATATTTTGGCAAGATCTTACCATCCCAAGCAAGTGTTGCACCACTGCCAGATATATGAGATCTTACTCTAGTTCTACTTTTAAGAATCTTCCGCCAGATCCAAGTACCTGCTGACTGAACTGCTATATCCCATATGGATTTAAGTTTTAAATGATATTTCTTTACTCACGTTACCCATAGATATCCCGATTCAGCTAGCAGATTCCAGATGTGGCGGACTACACAAGCATGATTCCATTTTTTAAAATCCCTTATCCCTAAACCTCCTTCATTCTTTGGCAGCACCACAAAATCCAAAGCAACCAAAGCCCTCTTTCTCATACTCGAACCTCCAACACCCCACAAGAATTGATTACATATTCTTTCAATATCTTTTAGTATTCTTTGTGGTAGTAGGAACAAGGTCATCCAGTATTGCATAATACTAGTTATGACAGAAGACACTAATTGCAATCTACCCTCATAACTAAGCTTCTTTGCTTGCCAAGTCCTTATCCTCTTTGTTATTTTATCAACAAGCACGAAACAGTCAGCATATTCAAAGTTTACCTGAAATAAGTGGCACTCCAAGATAACGAACGGGCAGGCTCCCCAGGGGAAAATTAGTAAAAGAGGAAATCCATTGCTTCTCTTCTTTAGGGATGCCACAACAAAACAGTTGACATTTAGCAGGGTTGCATCGAAGACCAGATTCAACATAGAACTGTGCTAGCACCCTTTGTACACCAGCCATCCCTCTTATGGATCCATTTGTAAACACTAAAAGATCATCTGCAAAGCATAGATGGGTGATCTCTAGTGCTTTACAACGTGGTTGATATGGAACTTGATTATCAACAGCTTCCCTATGTATTAAACAAGAGAAGTACTCCATTGCCACAGTGAACAAATATGGGGATATGGGATCCCCTTGCCTTAGTCCCTTCCCAGCAGAAAAGTAACCACACAAACCTCCATTAAAAGAGACACTGAGTTTAGTAGTGGTAATACATGCCTCTATAAGCTTAACGTATGATTCTGGAAATCCCTTAGCTAGAAGCATGTTAAACAGGAAAGACCAGCTCACTGAGTCAAAAGCCTTCATAGGATCGTTTTCAGGACACCTCGATGTAGTATTCTTCATATGATAATCTTTTACTAGCTCACTAGCCATCAGAATATTGTCACTGATTAACCTCCCTTTTATGAAAGCTGACTGAGATTTACTTATAACATGAGGAAGCACAGCTGCTAACCTATTGAATAGGATTTTAGATATTCCTTTATAGATTACATTGCAACAGGAGATGGGCCTAAAATCTTTCATTCTATCTGCAATAACCACTTTAGGTATTAAAGATAGAATAATGGAGTTTACCTGTTGTGGCATTACTCCTGATTGAAAAAATTCAAGAATCACCTCCTCCACCAACTCTCCAACAACAGACCAATATGATTTATAGAACTCAGCAGTAAAGTCGTCCGGACCAGGGGCTTTATCATTTGGCATCTTTTTAAACACCTCCCTAATCTCCTCCCTTGTAACCGGAGTCAACAAAATTTAGACACCTTCTGAGTCAAGCCTCTTCCTCAACTGCTGCTGGAAGAGGTAACTAGAAGGATCTGAACTTCCTTATCAACCTCCCCCAAAAGTTTTTTTTATAAAACCTAACTGCCTCATCCCCTATTTCCTTAACATGTCACTTCCGTATTATCATCCTTAATCAGCTTCATAATGATCTACTTATGATTCCTAATTTTCACCATGGTATGAAAATAGGTTGTGTTTGCATCACCTTCTTGTATATTTTTAATTCTAGACTTCTGCCTGAAGAAGCTCTCCTCTGTCAGCTGCAAATCATGGCACAAAGCAGCCAACTCAAGCTCATTTTGTGTATTCTCTACAGTTGGAGCTTGAAGAACTTCATGTTGCCGCTGTTCAAGTGCTATTTCTGCTACTCTAGTTCTTTCAGATATATCAGAATACTCGAGCGATTTAACTTCTTTAGCTTGTTTTTGAATGCTTTTAACTTGCTGTAGAATTGTTGCTAGAATAACCCCCTAACTGAGTCTCCCCATGCTTCCTCCAACAATGATGAGTATTGAGGATGCTATTGCCAGTACTTGAAATACTTAAAAGGCTTGGAAAGTGAGCCTAGCAAAGGTGTCGAATCCAGTACCTAATGCAGTCAAAAGCGCGATTCTACCTAGAAACGGAAAAGGGGTAAAATCGTAAAGCGTAGAATCAAAGCGTAAAAGCGTAAGTTTTTTACGCATACTGAAAAATAACTAAAAATCTATTAAGTAGGACATATGCTATGCAAAATATGAATACACAGAATTTAGATAAGTTGATAAATACATGCGATTCATGTTTAAAGTAGAGCAACTTATAACATCTTAATAATCAGTTCGTAAACATAAATTTTAACGATAAACCACTTTTCCCTCTATGCTAATGAATTTGGGAAAACCCTAGCTGGTGAATTAGATTACTCTATTGAAGTTGAGAATGCATCCAAGTACCTAGTATGTATCTTTTAATCTCAAATGTATCATATTGTTAGTGATTTACTTTAAAAATATACTTTTTATAATTAATTTCATGATAAGAATACTCATTTAGTGAACTAAAAGCGTAAAAACGTAAAGCGTTTTGGTGAACTAGAACCGTAAAACCGTAAGTTTTTAAGCTTTAAAGCGCAATTTAGTCTGATTTTATACTCTTAAGTTTTTATATGGAAACGAAAGCGTTTTGGTGACCCAAAAGCGTAAAATCGTAAGTTTTTAAGTTTTAAAGCGCGATTTTGACTGCATTACCAAACCACAATGATGTGATACCCCTGGAGCCAAAGTCTTTGCTGCACTTTGAGGAAAGGAAAGAAGCCATTCCTCATTCACAAGGAAACGATCAAGTCTCTTTGCTATGGGGTTCGGTGACTGCTTATTCCACCATGTAAACTGCGAGCCAAGGACCTTATGATCAATCAAACACATCTCTGCAATCCAATTCCTGAAATTCAAACCCCCCTGAGTCATAGCAACAACATTGGAACCCTCCCTATTATCCATAATAGCATTAAAATCCCCCATAAAGACACCAAGTTCACCTATGACTTTCCAATGCAGTAACTCAGAGTACATTGCCAGCCTCTCCCTCGCTTTGTTTGGACTATATATAGCAGTGACAATACACTTCGATAACCCTTCAACCCTGACCTGTATGAAATGCTCCCCCATTTTAACTAACTGAACCTTCATACTAGGCTTCCTGAAAAGCCAAACCCTCCCTAAAGCTGAATGTGCATAGTTATCTAAATGCTTCCAAGTACTAAAATGACACTATATAATATCTGCTGCATTCTTTTCTAATACTCTAGTTTCTAAAATTGTTGCAAAATCTATATTCAACTTTATTAACTGCTTACTAATATATCTATGCTTCTCAGGGGCATTAAACCCCCCTGAAATTCCAACTCAAAAATTTCATTTAGGCTTCTTACCCCTCCCCTTCTTAGGAGGGCCCCTTATAACCAGAGCTTGCCCTTGGGCATTGAGAGCAGCAGAAGGAAAGACCTTAAGAGTAGTATCATATGAAATTCTTTTTCCATTCCTTATCACAAGTTGAAATCCGTCTTCATCAATCAGCTTACCAAAGAGGGTGTTAAGAGGAGTAGTCGTCCCTCCTGAACTTGAGCTAACTACTGGAACTGGACCTCCTGCAATTGGTGAGCCTGCTACTAGAACTGGACCTCCTACAAGTGAGTCAGTGACATGAACTGGACCTCCTTCAGATGAGCCAGCTACTGGAACTGGACCTCCTTCAATTGGTTAGCCAACTACTGGAACTGGACCTCCTACAAGTGATCCAGTGACATGAACTGGACCTCCTTCAGTTGAGCTAGCTCCTGGAACTGATTCTCCTTCATTAGACCTACCAGACGAGCTAGCCTTGGCCTTAGACACCCAAGCTACCTCATCTGTCATATCCTGCGCTCTGATTAACTCTTTACTTGTAATAACCTGCACTTCTTTGCATTCCTTACCCTCCCCCTCACAATGACCAAACTCTTTGCATTGCTTGCACATCATAGGAACATGAAGATAACGATCTCCCAAATACAACGACTCCTCCCCTTCTGGTGTAACACTTATTGCTTCCGGGAAGTCAAAATCAGCAGAAATCTCCACACAAACTCACGCATTCCCAGCTTGGGCTCCTAACCTTGTTGCTTGATCCATCCAGAGCGGGGTACCTAGCAGGTTAGCAATTCTACTCAAACCCTCCACCGTACTGTACTCAAGCGGCAACCCACTGAGACGAACCCAGATCGGAAGTGACTTCAGACTCATTCTAACCTTTTGGATCCCGGAACCCAACGTCGAAGGATGAGGGGATTGTTGTTAATAGTGCCAAGGTCCATTTTCAAACACCCAAGTGCTGGCATCTGGATCAGAAAATTGGAAGAGAAACATGTTATCCCCAAAATAAGAGACTGTTACCCTACCATCTCTCCCCTAGAATCGGCGTGCCCAACGCCTCAATTGCTCAATCTCTGGCGCTGACGAGAAAAATTGCCCTACCAGAGCGTGTCGCCAATGAGCAGCACCCTCATCTCGCACCACTCTTGGAATGACTAAAGAACCATTGACAATATCTGGAGCAAAATATTGCAGGCGATTGGACTCTCCGACGCCATACAACTGTGCCCAATTAGCTGGAGCGCCCTGCGTGACGGCATCGGCTTGTCTCGCGAAGCACTCTTTCTCAAACCTTGATTTCAGAGGAAAAAAAAACTTATTTTTTCAGATAGGAAAAAGGGGTTGGGGCTTAATTATTATTATTAAAAGAAAGCTGATTGTAATTAATTATTTAAATCCGGAACTCTCATCACCGTTTCTAAATAAAACCAGCAGCTTCACTCGCAGCAGAAAAGAAGACCACAGCCATCCCCACCCATCTCCGCCGGTGCCGGGAAAAATGGATCCGGCAATCTGGAGCCGGCTCCCGGAGGAGATTCTCGACCACATACTCTCCTTACTACCGCTCAAAACCTTCATGAACCTCCGATCCACTTGCAAGCGCTTCGATTCCCTCATCTTCTCCCCTTCCTTCATTTCCAAACACTCCTCCGCTGCCGGCGCCGCCGCTTCTCCGCCTTCCCTCCTCTTACTCTCCCACCCTCACTTCCCTTCCAGAGTCGGCGTTTACGACGCCGCCACCGCCTCCTGGCGCTCCATCCACCTCTCCCTCTCCTCCGCCTCCACCTCCCCACGCGCCGCCGCCACGCTCCTCTCCTCCTCCAACGGCCTGTTCTGCCTCCGCAACTCCTCCTCCCTCCTAATCTCCAATTTCCTCACCAAATCCTCTCGCCCCATCAATTTCCCTACATTCCCTTTCGATTTCGACTCCCTTACCCTAATTTCCACCGAATCGGGATACAGCATCTTCGCCCACTGCTCCAGGTCCTCCTTCGTCTACTCCTCCGCCGCCCAATCGTGGTCCCAATTCGACGGTTTCTCCCCGGCGCTGTCCGAGAGCTGCCGCCAGGAAGGGGTTTTCTTCCGCGGCTCCCTCTACTTCACGACTCAGGAGCCGATTCAGATCGTGAGATTCGATGTCCGTACAGGGGAATGGGGATCCATGGAGACCGAGCTTCCGGCAGGGATCAGCTTCGCGAGGCTGGTGAGCAACGGGGAGAGGAAGCTGTACTTGGTGGGCGGAGTCGGGAACAACGGGATCTCGAAGACGGTGAAGCTGTGGGAATTGGACGGCGGCGGGGATTGGGTCGAGATTGAGAGGCTGCCGGAGATGATGTGCCGGAAGTTTGTGTCAGTTTGCTACCACAATTACGAGCATGTGTACTGTTTCTGGCACCAAGGGATGATCTGTATCTGCTGCTATACTTGGCCGGAGATACTGTATTACAAGGTGGGGAGGAGGACGTGGCATTGGCTGCCAAAGTGCCCGTCGCTGCCGGAGAAATGGAGCTGTGGGTTCAAGTGGTTCTCCTTTGTTCCTCAGCTCTACGCCTTGGTTTAGTGTTCCGTTTTCATTTTTTTTTTTTTATACATGTCTATAGTTGTATCGAGCTTGACCGGAAAGGCGTAAGTACTGTGTTTATGTTTTCTTAGATCGTTAATATATGAGCGAACGATTGTGGTGGTGCACATAAAATACGAGAAAATTGAGATGATCGTATATACATTCGCTTGCGTTTTTTGAACATTACTACAGTTGTGTAGTCACAAATTTGAAGGATGAGAAGGAATGAACATGTGCTTTTTAGCCAAACTGAAGTAGGAGAGTTTGATGTGTAGGGATGATTTTGGCCTTTTGGCTTGGTGGTTAGTTGGAGTAAAATCCAGTGGCTAGCTGCTAAGGATGAAAATTCCAGGGTGTTTGTTTGAGGAACTTCTTGTCTGCGTCCTACGGGTCTTTTTCTATTTTGTCTTTTTTTCCCCCCTGTAATCATCATCCTTTTGTATACTTTTAAGTTCTAGTTGAATGTATAAAAGGGTTGACCAGTTTACTTCAGTAAATAGCTTATCGATGTGAATTAGCGTACGGATTGGTGTAACAAGCATTTCAGGTTTTACTGGTGCAATTGATAACAACCAAATAAAAAAATTGATCGGTTAGTTCAAACAAGATAGTCGAATGAATCAACTGAACTATAATTAGTGGTCATTCATTGATTTATTGGTCACCTACTCAATTTAATCTTCATAACTCTTTACTTTATGTAGTTTTAATTTTACGAGGAAGTCACTCGACGAGGTAAAGGGCACATAACCAGATAACCTATACACAAATATATTATGTTACTAGTAGTTGATTTACATCTAAGTGAGTTCTTTCTTTTCTTTTGTTTTTGTTGCTATGGCAAACTTTAGATACAAGTCAACTGTTGAAGAGTTGTTAACTTAGTTCAAATGGGATCTAAAATGCAGGTTTGGTCTAGTTCAATTTCCGGGTGCGGGCACATATGAAACCATCGAATGTAAGGCTCCCAGTCAAGATCAAGTTGGTGGACTGTACTGGTTGTTATTATATAAAGAAAAGTTGGGGATCGCCATTACCCCATTTGCCGTCCCCGATGCCGTCGTGGACGATTTAAGTAATGTTCATGAAAAGAAAGGAGGTAAGAAGGTAGAAGAAAGAAAGGGAGCCATTTTGTTGGACCCAATTCGCTTGTCGCTGATCTGATCTGGTCGTAATCTAATCATTCAAACCTTTACATTTTACTCCAAATGTCCAGTTTGTTTCGAGAAGGAAAAGACGGTAATGCTCTAGCAGTAAAACTACGAATCTCTCTTTTTTCCAAAATAGCTGCCGCCAAAACGCTGTTCCAAAGTGAAGAAAACAGACGAACCTGCTGTTGACTTTGTTTCTAGAAATCGCGAAAGGAACATGGAGAACAAACAAGGGTGGACAAGGAAAGGATGGAAGAACTGAAGAATATTCATCTACCAGTCCTCCCTTGCTTGCATTGCAATTGAAAGGAGAGACAGAAATGGGACGTTCGTGACTTGTAATGAAACCTGTAAGCCTCTTAAACTCCAGACTAGAAAACTGTACGGAAAGAAAAACCAACATTCAGATCTGATAAAAGATGGGAGAAAGAAGACATGAAAACCCACAAGCTTTCAATCGATTATCACACTCAAAGCTGCAGGAAGAATTCGACAAAGTCAGCAGTTTGCATTTCCCCACTATTTAGACCCAACAAAAACTAACAAATGTACCCAAACTGTCTTTCACTGGAAAAATGCCATGTATCAGAAATTTCAGACTGCCTCGCTTTGATCGTAAGAATATATATGGAGTTTCAAACAACGAACCCATTTCGCGTTGTCGTCATTGAATAAAAATCTTGAATAGATAGAGGGCTGCTGAACAATCAAGGCTTCAGGGACAGACCCACGCCAAACTTGGGAGTCTTCTGGAAAGCTTTCGTGTCGAATGACCCAGACACTGTCAAAAACGACTTGGGCTTTATCTCGTGCTGGAGAAGAGCCCCAAGATCACCATGGTTGTTCAGCTTTGCTTTCAATAATGTAGTAGAGTCGACCACATACGAACATCCAACTGTTAAAGTGTTCTCGTTGGTGGAGAACCGCCCGCTGATCTCTGCCACAACTGCACCCCCATTCAGCTGCTCCAGATGATGCAGGTAGGAAACCCTTATAGAGTCTCCTTTGTCAGCCCTGCAGGAGGAAAACAATGAAATGACATTTTTTAATTGGGGACCAGTTGAAAAAGGTCTAAGATGAGACACTCAAAACCATTGTGGCATAGTGAAATTGTAGTTTTGACGCAAAATTTGTCTTGGTATGAGAATGTTCAGGTACTCAAAGTTAAGACACCATATATTGAGATACTAAATAGTAATTTTACGGAAACCCATCAGTTAACTTAATTATCCACCAGCACAATAAATTTGGAGCAAATGGGTTTCAGTTAGATGGATTTGAAGTGGGTTTGCAGTCGCAAGGGTGCTCCAAGTTCTAAATATGCATGTGTTCTGTGCTTAAGAAAACGGCTAGAAAATCCAGCACATAGAACTTACAAGATGGCCAAAGCATTTGAATCTGGCCTAGTGAGGCTGACACCAGCATTATACTTGCTAAAGTCGCCTGTAGATGTCAAGTAGCTAGCCTCTGCGCCGAATGCAATGGTGGGAGTACCAACAGTTGCAGAGAAATCAATAGATGGAGACTTATTCAGGCCGAGGGCAGCAGTGACACCAGCATGATGATGGAAATGCTGGACATCCAACTGTAGAGACAACAACAAGGAACAAATGCTGAATTAAAACCATACCAAACCCCATCAGATGAACAGCTACCACATCCTTGCATACTGAATACCTTTTCAGAGTTGAAATCAGGCAATTTTACTGAAGCAATGAATTTGGTCGATGATGGATAGTCTGTAACACTAACAGTTGTTATCACCTGTCCAAAGAAACAACATTAGATATACCAGAGGTGTGAATTAAGGGAATAACAATGAAAACAGGGCAGAGCACCTACATTAGACTCAGTATCGACTTTGAATCCAACAGTAGCATTCTTATGCTTGTATTCAGCTGCCACATCCCCAGACGAAAGGCCTCCTTTCTCAACAACATTCGAGGTAAGAGCCTGAAATGGACAAGAAAAACTGTTAATCCCAAAATGCAAACTGCTAACCAAGTAAGGCTTTGAAAAAATGAATCAAACTACACACAGTGGACCTCCTAGAACAATAAAATCCTAGGGTATGCTCTACACAAACCAATTGCTGGAGATAATAGAAAGCAGATTGTATATTACATCAAACCAAAAGTTACAGGATCACATTCTGGGTGGACCAGCTATTGCCAAAATAAGATAGAAAATCTACAGCGCTAACTAGCAAAAGACTTGCACATAACACAATTAGCCCGTCTGCTATGAAAATTGCAACTAGCTAATTGAAAGCAAATACACACAGAACCACTAGGACATTGCCCCCATGAGGTCATGAGCAGCAACAAATTGGATTACAATACAAAATGGGACTATTACGGACAAAAAGCAACAGCCTCGCATTACCAATTACAACCCTAGCGGTACCAAAGACAGTACAGGCTACAGCTTATACCAGCTTCAGCTCTCATGGCTAGCCACAGTTAAGGATTCAGAAAATTGAGCAGCCTCATTACCTAAACATAATCAACAAACTACCAGCGTACCACCGTAGCTCAGAGTATTCAAACCGAATGAAACGCGAAAAATCTCAGATCCAATCGCAGGGCTTAAGCAAATCATAAAGAGTTGAAAAGAGCAGAATGAGTGGGCAAGGGATGATAAGGAACTGACCACTCCAGAATCGGTGAAACTAGAGATGAAAATCTTCTGGTCGGATAGGTAATCCCTGGTGAGCAAATCTGGAAACAAAGAGGGAATCAAACGAAACATCGGCGCCGCAGCAAACAGCGAGAGCAAGAGAGAGAGAGAGAGGAAGGTGGGAAGGGGAGATCTATCTTCGTTTACCTTTGGCCTTCTTGCCGAAGTCGGAGAAGAGACCTGGTCCCTTGCTCATGGCGGCCGGCGAAATGGAGTCGGAGAGGGGAGGATTTGGGGGCAAGGGTTTATGAAAAACCCTATAATGCAAGAACTGGGAGAGAGCTGTGCCTGTGGTGGTGGGAGCTTGTTCGTCTTGGTAAAAGTGCGCACCAGTCAACGATCTATAAATATGGGGCGGGGGGAAGGGGAGAAAGCAGGCGGGCCGCGCGGGTCCAAAATTATCGCGCACACCCGACCCGATGTTTTTGGGGTTTCTTTCTGTTTGGCGTTGGCTTCAAGCACAAACCAGAACCTGGCTTCACGCCCAAAATTGAAAATATGAAATTGGTTGTTTAACGAGGTGTTATTATTATTTTTTTTAAAATTCCTCGCATCTTAGCTTTCATTCAAGACCATATGGGGTTCGGAGAGCCCCTCACAGTCATACAAAATGAGCTGATACAAAAAGGGATTAGAAATGGAAATACTATGCACCCCCACAGACTGGGCGTGACCGCAATGGGCAAGATAATCAGCACACTTATTGGCCCCGCGATAAACATGGAAGATCCTCACTTGTTCTTCTCGAGCTGCAAGAGCCTGAAATCGGGCCACAATGGCCAAGTGGAGATGTGTGGCACTGTCCCTGCTCGTAAGCATATGCACTGCGCACCGCGAGTCAAGCTCCATGAGGATATGGCAATACCCGAGGTCCCAAGCCACCTGAAGTCCTTGACTCACACGAAATACACCGAGAATTAATCCCGACTACAGCCCAAGTTTGTAAACTCTAGCCGGGTGCAGTATAGGGCAAGTATTTAATTGTCAAACCCGGGTTCGTCCATGTACCCCTACTTCAATCGCTTAGGTTGTTATCTAGCAAAATGGTTTTGGGTTTAGAACTAAGAAAACGACAAAAAAAAACAAATAAGTAAAGTAAATCGAGGAGAATTCTATATGAGAGGACTTCACTTGGGTATTGCTCCTCATAGCCTCATGCTAAGAACCAATGAACGAAACTCTAGTGTGAAGGGTATTATATACCGCGAGGCGGGTGCAACAAGCTAGGAACGAGCCCTCCTAGTCGATCAATAAAGGATTGCTATAATAAGCTAGCGAACCTAGTTCTCTTAACCGCTTGGCTAAGGATCTCAACCATAAGCTAGGAGGCCTAGCTCTCTTAATCAATCAAACAGAGGAATCCCTAACTCTCTTAGTTGACCAATTAAGGATTCTTGCATTAAGTTAGTAGACTAACTCTCTTAACCTTTCGGCTAAGGATGACAACAATAGGCTAGACGATCTATCCCTCTTAACTAATCAACTAAGGGTTGCAAGACCCAACCCTTCGAAGTTAATCCGGACGGCGAAGAGCGACCAACCATGATGGGATCATGGTACTACTCTGATACTTGAGGTTTTGGCCCTAGATTAACCCAAAGGGGTTACCCAAGTGGCTAAGAGATCAAGCTCCCTATAGGCCAAAGGGGGATTTCCACCTTCCAGGTTAATTTGACCCAATAATGAGATAATGCAAGCAACACCCAATCATTCATGTTTAATACCTCAAATATTATATAAAACACACAACAACACAATAGAATCAAGTTAAACTAATGTCATAATAAAGTTGTTGGACTTCTTCTCTCTTCTCTCTCTAAACCGTTAGCGCTTTCCGTTCGTCGGTGTGCTTCCCGCCGCCGCGCGACTTCTGATCGGTGGTGGTCCTCCACTTCTGATCGTCTTTCTCTTCTCTTCGTCTTTCTCTTATATTCCTCTCTGAGATCTCATGTTCGTTGTCTTCCATTTGCCAATCTTGGGAGGATTTATTCGGCGTCGCCGAAGCAAATCGACTGGTTTATATTGAGCCAGAACTTGTTGATGGCGGATTGAGGATCCCGAAGGAGCTTGTTCAGGAAGGTGAAGCTAGATGGAAGAATAGTCTTGTTGGTCAGTTCCTGCATTCCTCCCCTTCAGTGAAGCAGCTTCAGAGTTGGGCGAATCGGCTTTGGGGAAAATCTGGTCTGGTTAGGGTTTTGCGGTTCAGCGAGCAGCTATTCCTCTTCCAATTCCCCAATGTGAAAGCTGATACAACCCAAACTTTCGTCACTACCAAGCTCGAATTACCTGCCCACGAAGCTAGCCCAACTCATTTGAATAATCTGGAATTTTGGCTAAGTGTATTGACGTGTTCAGGTAGCCAACTTTGGGAGCTCGGTTCTTCAAATTGGGTTGATGAAAATGGGAGTTTAGGGTGTCGTTTTGATCATGAAGACTTCCTGAACAAGATGGTATGGGTTTCGAATTCATACGATGCCATTAAGGCTGCTTCCCACGGGCTCAAAGTAGCTATCGCACAACTGGCAGTTTTCCAGAATTTGACTAAGTCTGGAGGTATGTTCAGGAAGGTCACTTTGGAGTTCCATTCTGGGCAGAGGACAGAGAATCGCGTCAGGGGCTCGATACCACATGAAAATATGCATTTTCATCTACAAAGGAAGCGCATTGGGTGAAGTGTTTCATATCTGGAAGTCGTCCATCGAAGGCCTCGAAGATGGGATCAAAGGCTGTTTGGTGACTTGGAGCTGAAGGCAGAATTGTTTCATTGTTTCCTTGTTTGAGTTGAAATTTAATTCCTTTTCTGTTAAATCGTGTTTTGTCAAGTTCCAGTAGGATAAGGAAGTTGTTAGGCGAGTTCTATTAGCTTAGCTATATAAAAACTCATTGTTTGCGTTGTAAGTTTGGCAGTCGTTAAAAGTTTAATAAGAACCCTAGTCATTGAGTTCTAGCTCTTTGATTTGTCCTTGTTGTGTGGAATTAAATCCATCAACGAGCGAGCTCAGCATCGATTGATTGTTCCCATCAATCGTGGACGAGTTGCACCCAATTGGATCGAGCCTCTTCCCCGATTTTGTGTGTTGAAGTTGCTCTTCCCAACTCCGCCCTTTATTCCCTGTTTTGTACGTGTTCTTTCCCCAATTCATCCGCTAAGTTTGATTGCAAGGAATTGAGGGTTCGATTTATCAAGCTTCCAGGGTTGGAGCTTATCAAAAGCAGCGGATTGGGTCTTTACTAGCGGGCTGTGCCACTTCAACAACGACATGTGCTTTCTCCGGCAATGGTCAACTGGAATTCGAGCGGTAAATTGTGATTCCACCATTCATATCTGGATTTGTTTTCAAGATCTTCCTGTTGAGTTTGCCACTCGTAGAATCTTGACTCGTATGGCTAGTATGTTGGGCCGTCCATTGTGGTTTGACCAATCCACTAGATTGGGTAGGCGAATGGGGTTTCCCAAGGATTGTGTCGAAATGTCCATTGATTCCTCATTTCCAGAGACTCTAAAGCTGGTTCCAGATCACAAACCTGCATTCCTGGTGAACTTGGAATATTGTAATAAGTCGGTTGGTTGCCGGAAGTGTAAGGTGTTTGGTCATCAGTGTGAAGTTTCAGGGGGGAGGAAACAAGGGAGTCAGGAGTGAATCAAGAAGGTCAGGGGGTTGTAGAGAAGGGGGTATTGAGGAAGTGGGAATTGAGGTTGACAATGGTAGTAATTTTGACAGTTGATATTGGAAACTATTCTTGCTTCCAAAGGAAAGGGGAAGCAAGGTAAGAAGGGGCCAGGTAGGCCTGCAAAACCCAAGCCTAAGAAATGAAGGTGCTAGCTTGGAATATGAGGGGATTTAATCACCCTGGCAAGCAGCAACAGATTTTTGGATGTAGTGGCTAGAGAAAATGTGGATGCGTTTGGAGTCATTGAAACTCGGGTGAAGGAAGGAAAATCAAAAGAAATAGTGGATTTAAAGTTTGACAGATGGGAGTTGCTCATAACTATGAGCATTCAGTTTTGGGTCGATTGTGACTATTTTGGAAGAAGGATCTTAATTTTGTTGTGTTAGAAAAGTCATATCAATTCGTACATGGAGTAGTTAGGGGTGACAGGTCTGCCAAAATCACTTTTGTCTATGGCTCAAACGATGAGGGGGGCAGAAGACGAATGTATCATCATCCTGCACTTAAGCCAGATCATCTACCATGGCTAGTATTAGGTGATTTTAATGATGTGCGTTGTGTCAATGAAGCTTCAAATAATCCAGTTAGATCTCAGAGTATGGTATATTTTGATGAGTGGATTGTTAGTATGGAATTGGAGGACAGTAGCTTTGAAGGTCCTTGGCTTTCTTGGAGTAATCGGCAAGAGGGAAACCCCATAGCAAGAAGGATAGATAGAGTTCTGGTCAATGCTAGTTCGTTGGCTGAATTCCCTAATTATGCAGTTAATCTTCTTCCCCCAGGGCTCTCTGATCACTGTGAGATGCTTATGAATTCAAATACTCATATTTCCTCTCTACCTAGACCATTCAAGTACTTCAGCAGCTGGGAATCTCATCCTTAATACAAGCAGATTATCAAGGATGCTTGGAGCAAATACAAGCAGATTATCAAGGATGCTTGGAGCAAAAAATTCAGTGGTACTCCTATGTTTATAGTGTACGAGAAACTGAGGGAGGCAAAAAGGCAGCTAAGGAACTTGAATAGGTCCTCCTGCTCGCAAATTTCAGATAGAGTGAGACTTGCAAAGAAAGAAATTGAAGTGTTGCAGCTGAAGGCTCTCTTACAGCCTTCCCTGAGTCTTTTCAGAAGGTGAATGCTTATCAGATTATATTCTCTGCCCTTATTAAGGAAGAGGAGGCTATTTACAAGCAAAAGTCTAGAATCATTTGGGTTAAGACTAGAGACTTAAATACTTCCTTCTTCCACAATTCTATGAAAGCTCGCCAGGCTCGCTCAACTATTAAGAAGGTAATCTCAAAAGAGGGTGCAGTCCTAACTGAAGTGAAAGAAATGAGTGAGGAAGCAGTAAGGTTCTACCAAAAATTGTTAGGTACAAAGAATTCTGATGTTCAGAGGGTGAGTAGTGGTCTGATTTCCCAGTTGTTAGTTCATACACTCACCTCTGAGAAGTAGAGCCTCTCTGTGGCTCAATAACAAGAGCAGAAGTCAGAATAGCTCTATTCTCCATGAATGGGGAGAAATCCCCTGGTCCGGATGGCTTCACAGCTGGTATCTACCAGCATAACTTGGAGATTTTGGGCAATGAAATCACTGCTACTGTAATGGACTTTTTCATATCAGGAAAGTTGCTTTCAG